CAGTGGACTGCACAAAGGCAGAATTTAACAGAGAACTGGTAGATCAGATCCCATGGGAAGATAATCTAAGGGAAAAATGAGTTCCGAAGAATTGGCAATGTCTTAGAATATTCAAGGCACAACAACAAAGTATCCCCATGAGAAGGAAAGACAGAAAGATTAGTAAGAGGCCAGAATGGCTCCATCAAGAGCTCTTTAATGTCCTGAAAATCAAAAATGAATCCTACAAAAAGTGTGAAAATTGGTAAGAATTGAGAACAAAAGAATAGCAGAAACAGGTAGGGACAAAAGCAGCAAGACTATGGAATAAAATGAGTTGCACTTAGCAAGGAACATAGGCAATAAAATGAGGTTCTGTAAATGCATTATGAGCGTGAGAAAATGAAGGCTGCTTACTTAGTGGGAAAGGAGAGATAATAGCAGATGACAGCAAGAAGGCTGAGGGGTTCTAATACCTTGTTTGCTTGACTCTGCTTAAAAGGTAAATTGTGACCAAGAACTTAATACAGCTAACTTCAATGAGGGGGGGAGGGGAGGAAGACTGCAAGCCAAAATAAGGAAAGAACATGTTAAAGACTACTTAGGCAAGGTTGATTTTTTTTTTTTGCAAGTTAGCAGGGCAGATGAAGCTCACCCAAATATATTTAAGGAATTAGTTGTAGCAGTCTTGGAACTTTAGCGATTCTTGAAGAATTCGTGGAGATGGGTGAGGTCCCAGAGAACTGGAGAAAAGCTAATCTATTGGCACTTCTTTTCCAAAGAGGACTCAGGGAGTTCAAAACCAGTCAATCCAACTTCAGTAATAAGGATCTATGAGGAACACATCATGCCAAACACATCTAACACATGCCAAACACATCTAACTGCCTTTTTTTGACAGAGCTGCTGCCCTAGAGCAGTGTCTCTCAACCAGTGGTACAAGTACCCTTCGGGGTACTCGAGAGAAGTCCAGGGGGTATGTCAACACAACTGAAATTTGGAGAAAACGTAATTTTTTTTGTTTTACAGTGTTTTATTATTTTTGTATTTTTCACATCCCAAAATTTCATTTCCTGCCCAGCGATGATTAAGTTGTTTAAACTAATGTGTCGCAGTGGTAGAAGAAAATTGTCTGAAAACTGTAGGTGTTGGGAGTACTCATAACTTTTTGTTTTGTTTTGAAAAAGGGGTACTTTATTTAAAAAAAAAAAAAAAAAAAGGCTGAGAAACACTGCCCTAGAGGATACAAGCAAAGTTTGTAGATATATCTCTTGATTGTTAGTAAGGCTTTGGACACAGTCCTACACGATATTTTCATAAGCAAACTAGATGAAATTACTGTAAATTTTCTGGTTGAAAGGCTATTCAGAGTAAATATCAATGGTTTGTTGTTTGGTTGAATCTAATAGGGCTGCATCCTGGTTTTGGTACTTTCCAATAATTTCTTTTATGTGTAGAATAATGGACTGGAGAGTGTGCCTATAAAATTTGTAGATGCTACTAAACTGGGAGAGGTTCTGAGCACTTTCGAATTCTAATCCTGTTTTCCAAAAGGTCTTAAATTAGAGAATTGGTCTGAAATCCACAAGGTGAAGTTCAATCAAGACAGCTGGGAATAACTTCATTTTAGAAGGAAAGATCAAATGCAGAATTGCAAAATGGGGAAGAGCTGGCTAAGTGGTGGTACTGCTGAAAAGGATATGGGTATTATAATAGATGGACAAATTAAATGAGTTCCTACCTAATGTGATGTAGTTATAAAAAAAAAGATTAATGTTCAGGACTATATTAGTAGGAGCGTCATAGGTAACACACGGGAGGTACCTGTCTTGCTTTAATCAGCACTGGTGAGATCTCACCCGGAATACTGTGCCCAGTTTGGGCACCATGCTGTAGGGAAGATAAGGACAAATAAATAGGGAAGAGGTGTGTAAAGATTAGAAAACCTGGCCTATGAGGACAGGTTAAACTGGGCGGCTTCATCTACACTGGCACGATTTTGTGCAAAAACTCTTTTCAGAAGAGAGCGTCTACACTGGCATGTGCCTTTGAGCAAGAGATATGCTTTTGCACAAGAGCATCTATGCCAGTGTACACGCTCTCTTGCGCAAGAAAGCTCTGATGGCCATTTTAACGATAGGGCTTTCTTGCACAAGAAATTCATGTTGCCTGTCTACACTGGCCTCTTGCATAAGAAGCTCTGATTTCATACATTAGAACATCAGTTTACTTACACAAGAACATGTGGCCAGTGGAGACAGGCAGCAAGTTTTTGCGCAAAAGCGGCCGCTTTTGTGCAAGATCGCACCAATGTAGACACAGCCGGTATGTTTAGTCCTGAAAAAATAACGTATGGGTTCTGTAATAGTCATCAAATATATTGAGGACTGCTATAAGGAAGACTCATGAGTTGTTGTTCTCCATGTGCACTGAAGGTAGGACAAGTTGCAGGCAGCTTCGTGTACAGCATGGAAAATTCAAGTTTGACAGTTATTTTTTCTTAAATATCCAAGTAGCTAAGCTCTGCAGCGAGCTTCCATGGAAGGTGATACAGTCCCTGTCAGTGGAGGTTTTAAAAACAGGTTAAACAAACACTTATCAGAAATACCTTGTTTTAGCACAGGGAGATGGATTAGAGACATTTCTCTCTCAACTTTGAAAAAATTCCACTTTGGATTTGACCTGGAACAGTTGTTTTTTTATGGCCAGTGAACAGAAAAATCCATTATTCTCCCTGCTTAGCCTGCAAACTGCACCAAAGCTTGGGCAGTAATCCCAGGTGCACCCTTCTCAACAAAGGTTCAGTAACACATGCTGGCTGTAGCGAGACCTGATTTTATTCATATTTAATTACTTGTACCAAATATACATGTTCCAGCATATAGTAATCACAGATAATAAAAATTAATCCATAGTTGGCAAAATAAATGTGATCCCTTTTTTCCCCTGTTGTACTTGTGTATATGCAAATTAGCAAAAGTCACAGATTCTTAACAGGCCTTGCTGTTGGTGAGAATCAGTAAGGTTCACAGGTATGTATGGCTGTATACACAGTCATGTGACTGTCTTCAGTGTTGGGTGGATGGGTGTCTGTTTCTTCTCTTGTTATGGGATATGTGGTAACCTGTCAAGATGGGTGTAGCCTGGGATGCACATCACTTTAATGCCAAACAAAATAAACAAGATGGCAATTGTAGGAAACCATAACATCACTTCAGTGTTGTTTGCCCAGAATTTTTCTCTCTTCCAATTATTAGAATGCTCACCCTTTATGGAAGAGTTTGCAGTATGTAGCTGCAGTTTTTCTTTTTCTCTAATTTTTAGTCAAGGTTGCTTGCCATTAACGATTGATCACGTTTTCACATTCATTTCAAAGTCTAAGTAGTTTTATCTGATGTTAGGCACTCCCCATTGAGCGATCTCCTCCATTTCTTTGAATATTTTCCAGCACATAAATACAGTGATGCACTTTTTTTTTATGCGTTTTCTCTCTGCCCTGACCTACCTCCCTGGGAACTACAATGGAAATCTAGAAAACTACTCTGAGATCAGAATTCTCGTTGGGCAGGTGTTGATGAAGTGCATACATTTTCTGGAAAGTCCTTATGTCCTGTTTTGGTTTGTTTTGGTTTTTGAAGGGGTTGAGGAAGGAGGCGTTCACATAATGCCACTTCTACTGTTTGATTTGGTATCATGGACCTGTGTCCATTGCCATCCATAATAGGGATGTAATAGTGTAGCCAGTTAAACAATTAACTGATAAGCACATGCTTATCGGTTAATTCTACTAATTACACTCAATACCTCCTCCCCCACCCCCGTTGGGTCTGCCAGTGCATTTTTTAGAAGTCTGAGTAGTCCAGCTTCATTCTTTGAACTTGACACCAGTATGCTACATCAGATACTGGACTAAATGGACCATTGGTCTGATCAAGGATGGCCACTTTTGCGGTTTTGTGTGCTTGATTAATTTTCCCTTTATCCCTCCCCTGGAGATCACCTCTTCTTTATTTCTGTGCCCTTTTTAGAACGGCCTGAGGAGAAGGAGAAAGTGAAGAAAGCAGCAGATCACTGCCGTCAGATCCTTAACTATGTGAATCAGGCTGTCAAAGAATCTGAGAATAAGCAGGTAGGAGGGGCAGGAATGAAAGAGATGGGAAGGGTGGATCATGGGGAAATCAGGAGAGAAAATCCAGAATTGCTAATACTCTGGTTAAAGGAATGAAGCCCATTGGGGAATCCCTAGCTCTGATCTAGACATTCCAATAGTTGCATATACTGCTTGACTCTTCCAAGTTGTCCCAAACCAGTGTAACCGTGTCTTCGTTATGTGTGTTCCAGCGTCTGGAAGATTATCAGCGTCGCCTTGACTTGTCCTACTTGAAGCAGTCAGAGTACCCTATGCTGGATGAGCACAGGGTGAGTGACAGAGCAGAAATGATTGCCGGGTTGGGATTGTGACCCCCGGTAGTTAAATTGGTGATAGTTTCTTCTATACCCTTCTGTTTAACATATTCCACTTTAAATGTCTCATGAAGAGTCTTTGGTGAGAGATTTCAGACAAAGGTTAAATGGAACACTTAAAAAGCGGCGAGGAGTCCTGTGGCACCTTATAGACTAACTGAAGTGTAGGAGCATAAGCTTTCGTGGGCAAAGCTTATGCTCCTACACTTCAGTTCGTCTATAAGGTGCCACAGGACTCCTCGCCGCTTTTGCAGATTCAGACTAACACAGCTACCCCATCTGATATGGAACACTTAGTAGCTCTCGAAAGTCTCCACGAACTTAATCGAGAAAAGCAAAGAGTTTTTGTGGATCTTGTAAATGTCATGGAACAAAACTGCTATGGAATACTAGGTTTTCACTTGTATGTCACATAGAGCAAACTGATTGACAGCATTCATATCCCCTTCTGAAAGAGCTCATACACCTCATGCTACATTCTCTCATACTTGCAAGTGCTGCGGGCAGAACTGGGAAGCTCTCGGGGAGAACTAAAGCTTAGAGATGCTGTTGGCTTTGCACGCGGAACTTGTCGCTATGTTTGATTCACGTAGAAGATCCGATGATATAGGAGGCAGCTGAGCTTTTAAATCTGGACCTAGAGTGCTTGGTGGCACGTCTTCTTTAAACTCCAGCGGGTCTAGCAGAGGAGTTCGTAACTTTTTGATAAAGTTTTGTAGGGGGAAAAAGGGCTCCCAAAATCTAGGGTCAGGGCAGTGCCTTTTTATATAAATGTATAAAATATTGTCAGGATATACACTGTGCGTTCCTCTTCTCATAGGGTGTATACTCTCTCTTGCACTGTTATAACTTCCACGTGGTCACTAACATGCTATAATATTCAAAGAGTTTTTTTTATGGTTTAAGGTTCACTGAGTTCACTATAAAACTCTTTTGCTTGGTCTTCCAAACTACCAAAAAGGCGCACAAATTCTTTTTAAGTCATGAAATCAAGAACCCATGGAAATAGTTTATATCAAAATGGCAGATTTTTCTAAGACTTGGAAGGAAGTGCTAATGAAAATGACTGCCTCCACTGTCTGCAGATGAGTTAGGAGCCCTAACATGAATGAATAATTCAATGCTGTTATGAAGTCTAGCAGATTATCAGAACAATTAATTCCTCAGAGTCTGCTGCGGGCAGTCCTCTCTTGTGGTGCATGTTTTGAAGCAGTAATGAACTTAAATAAGTTCTTATTATTTGTGTACATGGTTAACAAAATACTGCTAGAAACAGTCACGATCATGATAATGCCTCGGAGTTTCAGTGAAAAGAAATTGCGCCGCCTCCAAGAATTCCTAGGCCACGTGAGGCTTTACACACAAACCACTCAATTGTGGGGGGAAGGGATAGCTCAGTGGTTTGAGCATTGGCCAGCTAAACCCAGGGTTGTGAGTTCAATCCTTGAGGGGGCCATTTAGGAATTTGGGGCAGATCTGTCAGGGATGGTACTTGGTTCTGCCATGAGGGCAGGGGGCTGGACTTTTAAGGTCCCTTCCAGCTCTGAGAGAGGTCTATCTCCATATATTAGTTCAAACAGAACCTCATTATAACTGGAAGATACTTAAGTCAGAAAGTCTCCAGTTTTTAGTTTCATCCTGCATCTAATTTTCAAAGCCATAAACCACAGGATCCAGCCTGATTTTCCATACAGACCTTGGAAACTGTCCCCTCTATGAAAAACCCACTATAGATCCACCCACTAGTTTGAGGCTAAATCCAATCATCAGATACCCTGATATTAGCTGTAGACCACAGCCTCTTTCCATGTGTCCTGCTCTGAGATTACCCAGGAGCTTTCACTGGCCACTACCCCATGATGCTTGGGGGGCACTGCTCACCTTCCCAGTGCCCTCTTGCCACAGGCAGGGCATCCCCTGTTATCACATTGACTGAGGGTGCCAACATATTTGTAGAAGTCGGGGGGGGGGGGGCACTTTTTAACCTGGGCATAATTTAGGGGACAGGGTAGTGTACCTTCCCCCACCCCCCAGGCTGCATGCCTCAAGCAGGCATGGACTGTTGCCGGCAGGGGCTGCACTTTGGAGCTAGGGAGCTGATAACCATGGCAAGCTCCCTTCCTCATGGAGTGCTGCCCCAGCTGGTGCTCTCCATGTCTGCCTGAGGCTTGCAGACAGTGCAGACCCCTGTCCCTTCAAACAATGCCCAAGTTAAAAGTGGGACGGTCCTGGCTCCAGTGCCACTGACATTCACCCTGCCCATAAAGCTTCCATTTATAGGCCTGACATCCCCCTGTGCCTGAAACTGGCTGGGAGAATCGTGTCCTTTCACAAGAGGGAAAATAGCCGTTTCTTCCCTATGGCATAAGGTCAGGGAGTGCCAAAGACTGAAGCAACCCACAGGTCCTACGTTCATGCACTTACCACAGATTCTAAATCTTCCCTGGCTCTGGATTCACCTCCTGGTCTCCTGGCAGCAGTGCCTTTTACCTTTGCCTCCAATGGTCTCATGTGGTGACCTTCTATGAATGTTGGTTTTGTTTGTTTTCTCTCCTGCTGGATTGGCAGAATTTGGACTTAACTAAGAGGAAGATGATTCACGAAGGGCCTCTGACCTGGAAGGTTAATCGGGACAAGACTATTGGTGAGCCCTCCTTCCACCAGCAGACTTACCCTCGGGTCCGTGACCATGGGTGGGGGAGGATACAGCGTAGCTGTGATTCCCAACTATGGGTCGTACCATTGCCTCCTCACGTGCGTGTCGGCTCCTCGAGCTGATTCAGTAATTCTTGTCAAATCTGACACATGCCAGAGTATCCCAGGCGCTCGGGAGATGTGCCAATCCCATCTGTAGCTCTCTGCTGTGGCTGAGAGAGAGTTGCAAGCTTTGCTTAGGCTGGCACAGCTCTGACTGTCTGCATGCAGAATAGAAAATGCATCCCTTTGGGTTTTTTCCTGTAGGAGTGACTCCTTAACTCATTCCCGGCCTACTTTAACCCTTTGCAGATCTCTACACACTGCTCTTGGAGGATATTCTAGTGCTGTTGCAAAAGCAAGATGATAAACTGGTGCTGAGGTGTCACAGTAAGATCCTGGCATCTGCCTCTGACATCAAACACACATTCAGTCCTGTTATCAAGCTGAACACTGTGCTGGTTCGCCAGGTGGCCACAGGTCAGTGCAACCAATGGGCACAATTTTGGAGTAAGCAGAAATGCAAAACAAAGGCCCTTTGAGGGTGGAGGCTTTAGGAGCTGGAGCGGGAAAGTGGGAGTTGTAACTCCTGGATTTAATTGATGTTGGATGAGCCATTTAACCTGCCTGTATGTTATCTCTCTGTAAAACGGGGCAGTATCCTTACAGATGTGTTTGAGCGCTTGTTAATGTTTGTGAAATAAAACATTCTGTG